AGCTGTCGGAGTGGACTGAGAGTCAGAGTGTGTTGGCTCGTTTTAAATGTGTTACTTATGGCACCCCCACTTACTTGGGATCGGAACCGACTTTGGTGGATTCGGCTACGCCAGCCAACTGCACCCGATTCCGCGTCCGATCAAAACGGCGCAGCTCTAAATGGACAAACTCGTTAGACCGACTTCTAAATTCAGTGAAACACCAATTTAAATAATTGGTCTTCGAAGAGGAAGCCTAACTAGAAGTGAACTGACTTTATTAAAAATAGTGCATGCTTATATTTTGCCCCGGAGGTCATGAGCAGTTGGGTAAAACCTTTGAAATTAATTTTAAACAAACGGTTTTACCGCACATGAATGTCAACTGTCGGTTAGTTTAGCTACATGACAAGTTACTTATCAACTTAACCGCCGTAGCTTTTGGACATGGCTAAGCAAGCAACCTATAGGCCATGCCTCAAGTATGCTTTTGTGAAGTATATTTATAGAACGGAAGGGCGAAAAATTGTACTTTTTAAGATTATATTTAGGATACCACAAATAGTAGAGCCTGAAGTGTTGAAAAATGCTTTGTTTCCATTTTAAACTAACTGCTGCCTTCTTATACCCTTAATTTACTATGACCCAATTTACTTTATAAAGGCCTTTTAGGCCAGATATGTATAGTTAAGAACCAAGTTTATTCTATAGCCTTGCTTTTACCCTGAATTAAAATGACATTAATGTACATTTTTCGAATTCTTGCTGAAGACATTTATAGGAGTCACAGCTACGGCTATTTTAAACAGTTTAAGTCAGAAGAAGCCTCAAAGTATCCGCTAAATTAAAAACCTACGATGAAAAACCGTTTGTTAAAATGAGGGTGAGAGGAACGTGTTAAAGACGTATGTTTACTCATGATGGATTAACATACCTGTGAAATGGGCCTGGATCAACTAAAAAATCACTTAATAATTTGAATTTAGTCGCAACGAATTCGTTAAAAAAGCGGTCTAAAAATTAGCGATATTCAAGTAAAGTAAAACGCTAAGTAGGTATAACAAATACTATCTCGTTGATGAGATGCAAAAACAGTTTTCTCAGGGAGATTGAAAATGTTCCAAACTTGATAATTTAGGGTTTCAAATGCCTTAAACGTCTTTTTTAGATATCTTTATAATTTACCCAAATTTCAAGTGCTACAAGTACCGCATTGTAAATCTCTCTTCCAAAAAGAACCATTTTTAACGTGAAACTTAATTCCAGAACACATATGACATATGAACTTGTCGTAAGACATTAAAACCTAGGTTAATGAATTTATTCCCTTTCCGACACCGGGTTTATCATCCGAAACGCTCGTCTTGCGAAACGCAGCCAATCAAACTGCATCAGTTCACTGATTGTTTGCCGGAGATCGAGGACTCACGTCCTGGAAGCAAGACTCGATGTCGGACACTGGCATACGCACACGCACTGTCAACTCGCTAACGGAGTGAAAATTCATCAATCTAAACACAGTTTTCTGCTGATGGGCTGCTATTTGAAATTTTCGTCACGCGAGGCATAGAATAATAAAGGTCACCGCCCAGATTTGAAAACAGGTTGACTAATACAATATGTCGAAAGCATATTGTGCAGGCAAAAGGACCTTCTCCGAAAATGGCTAGGCTAATAAGTGAAACGTGCCGCCTTTTAGGCGCGTTAACTGAGTAATCTGAATGTGTGTCGATTTGTATCTGGTCTACTTTTCCCTATCTGTAGCGTTCTACGTACCTTCTGCTCTTGATTCCAAATTGCGGCAGTCATGTATCACTATCAGTATATTAAAGGGACATAAAGTTAGATTGCTTCTGAGTTCCCTGTTTGTACATATGTGTCGTGGTAGGCCAATTGTCCCGAGCCATGGGCTGGTACATGGTTTTTCGAGCAGACAGTGAAAAAAACTCCCTTGGATTTTTAAGGAGAAAACTGTCGCTCTTACGGGGAGGGAGGATCTGATGGAGTATGGGGTTTGGGGGAAAAAACGTCCAGTCCTGGGGGAAGGGTCCAATAGTGGGGGGGGGATTGCAGTGGTCATCGGGATCATCACCGAGTGCATAAGATGCGGTCTGATGCTTCCTTGCCGATTGCAGAGTCCACAGAGAGGTTGAAAAAACAGAAATATCTACCCAGATCGTCCTCAGTCCGCTGCTAGTCGAACCAAGGGATAGCGTTTAGGCCACCAGGTTCGCCTGATGCGATCGCTGACAGGGTCATCACGGTATGCAGATAGCCAAATAGGAAAGACCGGGGAGACCATTGTATGGGATTATTAGTAGCAGAACCTAGTGATATGCATTTTTGATGTAACTAATCATACTTACAGCCTAGGTACTAGCTAAAAGGCCCATCTACGGTCTATGGTCGTTGGTCTACACCCATAGACCTTAAATATACTGATTTATACAGCGAACAGAAATTAATTTTTCAGAAGATTAAGAAGCTGAATGTGTATTTCTATCAAATCGTAACCTTTGTAATTTTTAGCTGGCCGTTAGTGTCAATTCAAACCTCACCGAATACTATGGCGATTTGTTATTACGCAACAAACCAGGCGCTTAACGGCCGTTTTCAACCGTCAGGAACACCTGATCTTGTCCAGAGTGTGGTCTCGGTGGAGTTCGGGAGAGCATGGCAGTCTAACTTGAACCTGCACTTTTCATGTCCTCCTAGTTCGGCAAATTAATTTTATTTCAAAACCATATGCGCCTTTTAGTTCCAGCGCATCCCCTCGATAACGCTTTTTTCCGACTTTCGAAACCATTCGAGTCTCTCTCCGCCACATTTTTGAAACACAAAATTATATTGAACGCCGACACGGCTGCATCTTCTTCCGACAGCCGTATCCATCGCTAGTCCTACCGCGCGTTTATCTTCGCAATAACTGTCGCTGAACATGTGTGGTCGGTGTAGCGACTGAGTTCTCTATTTTTTTACTGCGGCGCGGATCTGTTGAAAGTTTCAATGTGTAAGAGCCAACTGAGTCCGCTTGAATCTGAAAAAAATTCAAAAATCCGAACAAATGACGTCACAGTCAGGCTTACAGTTACGTTCTTCTAAACAATAATCAAGAATTTCCACTTAACGGTCGATATTTTAACAGAAGAAACGTTGCATTTAAGTATATTTCAGTAATATGCGCAAAGATTTGGGGTCCAGATATCTTATCGTTTTCATAATCCCCCAGAGAAGACGAAGAAGAAGGTTCAATGACATGGATCGAGTCATATTGGAACTGACGATTCGGACACTCACTTATTTTCATCGTCAGAGTAACGTGGTGGTTGTTCCTGTTTGCCGGGACTGTTTCAGCCTCACTGCATGCTTGTTATTATATCCGTGCTCAGCGCACGAACTTTGACCTGCTTGTTCGCTGCTGACTGTCCGTGATGTCTAGGCTTCTGCTGGAAAGTTGATCTTCGACTGGCACACTTAACAGATACATAGACCTTCATCTTGCTTACCAGGCGGTAGGCAAGTGGCTCGAGTCAGCTAGAACAAGGCCAACAGGATGGCGAAGAAGACACAAGCGTGGAGTAGAACTGAGATCAGAGGAAGATAGGAGAAGGGTCGGCCAGGACCAGATGACCAGCGTGGAACGCGACCTCACCGCTACCGCGCACACGAAGTTGACATAAACTCATGCGGGTAGCAACAAGTGCTTAGTCCGTCGGTGGACGAGGGACAGGCCAGTAAACGTACTGACTTGCCAACAATTACGACCGCCGCACAGGGGACAAAGGTCACACGAGCCTCCCAGCGGTCAATCTCACGGACA